TAATTAAACTCAACAGGCAAGAGCTTCGCACTCTAACTGCCGCCCTAACAGGTCATGGTCCATACAATAAACACCTTTTCAATTTAGGTATCACAGACAGCCCTCTATGCAGAGCGTGCATGGAGGGGGAGGAAACGGCTGCGCACATCCTACTTCAGTGCTCCGGCGTGGCCAACTACAGGGCAAAGTACCTTGGAGTGCCAAGGTCGCTCCTCGAAGTCTTCAGCAAACCGAGGAGGCTGCTGAGATTCCTGGAGGAGCTTGGGTGGCACGAGTAGGACCCTGCACCCACCACACGCAAAATTGACGTCGAGTTGCGGACACCAGCCCGTTACACCAAGTACCAAGTATCATTGATAAAAATTATTGACATAAACAATTACGGTGCAGTTTTGTAAAGTCCAAGCTTAAAGTGATTTCACATTTCCTGGAAGTGTACGATTGCATTATTAACATTATTCGCTAATCGATCCTTCACGCTTATCAATCCTTATGCGATTAAAGCATCTAATTGTTTAGATATAAGGTTAATACTTGTTTGAGATTACGACTTTTATATTTTAATTACAGGATTATTTTTAACCGACTTTAAAAAAAGGAGGAGGTTCTCAATTCGACTGAGTGTTTTTTTTTTGTATTTATGTTACGCGGTAACTCCGGTATTTGTGAACCGATTTTCATGATTCTATTATTGTTAGAAAGAAGAAAATTATCCGCCTCTAAGGGTTTTTGATTTGATTATGTCTGAGTCTAAAGGTGAAATCGAAATCTCTGGAAGAGCCCTATGCCTCAGGACAAGCTGAAGGTTGCCGCCAAGCAATAATATCAACATTACTGTGAGAAATTCTAGGGTTTGCTGATGAGCAATGCAGAGTAAGCAGAGTATGTAAATATTTGTACACATTCTACAGGGTTGATAAAAATAACTGAAAGAGTTGAGCCAAGGACTATAAAGTTTTTGATTCACTTTAGTTCTAAACCTCACAAATGAGAAATTTGGAATATCAACCGGAATCTTATCATGTCAAACCGAAACCAGTATAAAGGCCGCAGTAGAGCTCCCTGTAAAAGAGTTCGCCCAAGGAAATACAGCCACTTTACCTATTTCGGCCATCAAACAATAATATTAGTATTACTGTGTTCCAGTTTTGAAGGGTAAGGGTGCTGGTGAAATTACAGGCACATGGGACTTGTCAACTTATGTGTCAGGGTGACATGCGCAGTGGCAGTGCCCATCTGAGTAGCACTGCAACAGTTATAGACAGGGGTTAGCTCACCATCAGACGCACAACTAGTTCGTCCCTGTTTCTGTGTAAGGTAAGTTATTTATCAATTCTCTTATTCTTGTTAATCAGCAATAAAGGCTATAAATAAATAAAGTCTCACCTGATGGAAGATGGTGAGAATGCAACAGTAAAGAGCATGCTGCATTTTACACAGTCTAATTGACACATACGTCACCGGCTAGAAATTTCAAAAGGTCAAAGAATTACTTTGGTTTATATGATTGTTTTCAATCTAGGTATCACGGAAACGGCCGCGCATTCTACTGGAATGCCCCAGTGTGGCTATATAATATAAACTACAGTTTGCAATAACTTGGAGTGCCAAAGTCTTCGATAAACCCAGTAGGGTGCTGAGATTTTTAGAGGGCCTTGGGTCGCCCTGCACCCACCACACGCAAAATAGGCGGTTGGACGTCGAGTTGCGAACATCAACCCGTTACGTATCATATCACGATTGTTTTTGTTCTGATTTGTTTGCCCTAATTTGGGTGTCAGGCAATTCAATCCAGTGCGGCCTGAACATAATAATTATTAGGTCACAATGCCGGGCAAAGTGCGTACACGTGTTACATCGGTACGTACAGATCTGCTAGCTGCTCTGAAGGCTTGCTAGCGAGCATTGCGCTGTGCGATCTGGTCACATACATTAACATGTATTAAACTGCACAAATGCAGTGCAGTGAGTGTGCCACTTTAGGCGTGAACGGGCATTCTGCCGTCCACGAATTAAAATGTGGCTAAGTGACAAATGGTCAATAACATTTCAAATAGCAAACTACGTTTTAAATAGAGCACAAAATTCTCTCTCTACTTTTTTGTTCTTTCCTTTAAGAGTTTACACAATCTCAAATGGTTCTGGTTGAATCCACATAACAGTGAAAGTAAAAAGTAAATTCTGAAATAAAACCAGTGTCCCAGCCGCTCGACTCAAGCACAATTAACCATGTTACTGCGGGAAAAACTTAAATTCGGGCTGAGGTGGTATAGACTCTTAATGGGTAAACTAAAAAAGAATTGCTTTCAAGGATTAGTACAGTTTACAAAAACAATAGTCGAGGCATGTTCTTCACTGTACATGGTGACTTAGAAAATGCCCCATGCAATGTTGCCTACAATGTGAGACACTTACTCTTGGATCAACAATGCCAGGTACGTTACTCGGAACCCATGCTCCTGAGCTCCGTCGCGGTGTGGGTACAGGAGACTCTGATGGCAGGTTTTGAGATGGAATTGCATCTTTGCGGAGAGTTCTCCATTGCCCTGAAATAGTACAAATATTCAAAGAAAAAATTAATTTGACAGACACAAATATAAAGGCAGGAACAATGTAAATCAGATCCAACTGAAGCCTGTATTAGAGTCCTAGGATTCAAGTTACTAGAACAAGTGGATATCATGATAATTGAAAATTTTAAAACCATCAATATGTAATCATTTATCATCATCACCAACTGAATCGGTATTTAAAGCTATATTCACCAAATATCTGGGCTTCTAGTGTGAACATTTCTGCATAATAAAAAAAACGTGAAATTATTTGAAATGTAAAAAAGAACTTGCAGTACCAACATAATAAACCCTGAAGTTTAATTAGTAACCGCATTAGATTAATTTTAACTGACCGTAACTGTAAGCAAGGAGCTTGGAAACATAATTGTAAAATCTAAAATTAAAACATGTACCTAGTTATAATTCCTTGGCAACAAAGAAAATTATTTCTTCACAAAAACAAATCCGAGACAAAGCATATAGCCTTACTCACATTGTAATGAAATTACCACGAGCAAACCACTACGAAAATTATAGTGTATCACCGAAGAAAACAACAAAAATGTAGGTATAATTTTAAGTAGGTAAGTTACCTTTGTTTTTACCGACACTCGTAATTGTGTAGTCTTCGGGCCTGAAGTGTAGACTGCAGACTTTCGAGTATTTCGTATACGGCTTCCCTCTTTTTAGTATTTTATTCCACAATTTAGCTAATTCTTCATCTCTTGGGAATTGATGAAACGATACATTTTTTGCCTTGCCGGCCATGGATGTACACCGCGGTACAGTGCAGTAATAAGGCATTTTCAAGTCTCTATGTTACTAATAACACAAAATAACATATTTAGAGTACGATTTTAGTATTGCTTCAGTTGTTGAAACACGAAATTCTAATGAAAACAAACAAAGTTTGCGGATAAACACCAAGCGCCGCCATGTTCGAAAAGAAGATTAAAAAACATTTATCAGTGATGCCAACAAAAAGAAAAAAAAAATTGTCTATGAGTATTATGCTGACACTATTTATTACACGGGGCGATATTTACACATTATTATTGCATTAAAAGATAATTATTAGCCTTAAAATAAAAGTGAACATTTTGCATTGAAATAGCTATAAAATGGACCAAAATTGTATTGTTATTGAAAATGCGAAACTGAGTACGTACTATAGTGATGTGTTCTGGGTACTGATGGGTCACAGGAAAATTTCCATTTAGAAAAAAAATCATATTTTTCAGATAAATAAATATTTTTTCAAGTAATTTTTTGTTATAAGGGTGTTTTGGACTTTGATTTCGTTATATTTTCTGCATTTGACAGTTGACACCTGTCAAAAGTTGAAAATACTGAACGGAATCGGAGCCAATAACAGATTTTTTACTTAGCGCCCGCGCCGCGGAGTTTTTGTAAACATGTTTGGTTAGATATTATTTTGATTTATCTAACTGGATTTTATTAAGTGTTTTCTTGAGGTATTGTTTTTGTAACGGGACTGACATATTCAGTTATCATCAAAGTCCTTAAATAAATAAAGAGTAAAACGAAAAAAAAAAAAGATTTTACTTAGGATTCTTTTTTCCCTCCTGTCCAATCATTTTAAATTTGTGCCCTTCTTGCCCTTTGCCCTTATCAAGTCCTTCTTTACAACTATTATAATAAACTAATTTTTCGGAAAATTACCCACAGTTATTTATTGTTCATCATCACTGTTCGCTTTAAAAATAAAACAGTAATTGTTTATGGTCAAATGTGGCCATTTTCCAAAAAAAATAATGGGAAGTGGAAAGGGAAAAGAGGTGATACATGTCAAATTTTTCAAGGCTGCGGTGTGATGATTCCATTTTTTTCACAAACGTGATAACGATTGGCAAATAATCAATTTTATTTCCTATCGGCTGTTCAAAACTACGTTTTAATGTGATTAAATAGTGTTCGCGAGTTTTTTGTGTGTGCGGTGTAAAATTAACCAAAACGGACAAAGGATTTTTGTGTTTTTCGAAGTATGGGTTACTACTGTACAGTGCCGCAATGTACTTCCTTAGCCGGCAAGACGAAAAACGTGAAATTTCACAGATTTCCCCGCGATATAACGATGGCGGACAAATGGAATACGATATTAAAACGCGGCAAACCGTACACGAAATATTCTAAAGTTTGCAGTCTGCATTTTACACAGTCCGACTACAATGTAACTACTATGGGTAAGAATAAAGGTATTACGTTATTATTTCGCTAATTTCATCGCATTTTCGCATGTCTTAATCTGTTATACACCTCTGGGAATGTTATAACGTGCGAAAGCGTGTTTGCGAGGAAGACAACTTGTGTTTTCGAACAAAATCGTCATATTATTGGGTTTTTCCCGATAATGCAGTTCGGCCCAGGCGATCATAAGATCACAATGACTCATTTAAACGATGAGATAAATTCTTTATGACCTTGAACTTGTAACTATGGTAATAATTCGACATTTCTTATTGGAATCTGCTAAGTGCTACTTATTTACAATAAAAGACCCTATGACTTTACAATAAAAGTCGGGAAAGATCGACTTTGGTGACAACCGTATTGTGGAACTTTTTAGAAAAAAAAACACAAACCTATGCCCAGTAATGGGATAATGTAATAAGCTAATAGAGGTTTTAAGGGGACAATATTTTATTTATTTATTAACCTATATTATACTGTCAATTTAATTATATTGACATTTATATTATTGAATTACTTAATCTATAACATCAGCGCATCCTGAAGACGCATAGGTCTCCCTCAGCTCTGTCCATCTGGCTCTGTCCCTTTCCAGCCTAGTCCTTAGAGGTCCAGCTATTTATTTAAAGTCATCAGACCACTTTTAAAGGGACAACCTCTTTTCCTCTTGACATTTTCTCTTGGTAACCATTCTGTTACCTTTCTGGTCCACTTTTCTACTCTTTCTCTGTACATGTGGCCAGTCCGCTTCTACTTCAACGTTTTGCTTTTTGTGGTGACATCCTCCAAGTTAGTAGTCATTCATATGTATATAGCTCCCTTTTTGTCTCTTAGAGGGAATCCCAGCATCCTTCTCTCCATTCCTCTTTGACAGGGGACAATATGAGGACCTCTATACTGTGATCCTGCATTGGGTTCCAGGTCACTCTGACATTGAGGGTAATGAAGCAGCGGATGAACTGGCAAAGGCTGGTGCTAGGGAGGCTTTCATTGGTTCTGAGCCCTTTATAGGCACAGCACACTGCTTGGCAAAACTCATTTTGCTGAACGAGAGCGCACTGCCTTTTTTAACTGCCTCCGTGGCCGAACAGTTACCATGCCAGATTGTCACGCAGAGGTCCCAGGTTCGATTCCCGGGCCGGGAGAAATAGTTGTATGGCCTACAATTATTTCTCTCGTGAGTTTGGGTGTAATTTCTGGTTGTCTATGTGTGTGTCCATGGCACCCACGACACAGGGTTTCCCTAGTGCGGGGCTACGTTGAGTGTGTGCATTATTTATTTACATGTCTCCCGTGACATGTGGCTGCAGACTAAATTGCATTCAAAAGCCCTGATTATGAGTTGCCTTCAGTGCCAAACATTGTAGAGAAGCTCTGTCACTGAACAGGAATGTCATTAAAATGCTGACTAGAGCTTTAACAGGGCATTGTGGCTTGAACAAGCATGTGTCAAATATTGGACAGTGAGAAGACAGAGAATGTAGATTTTGCCACGAGGCGGATCTCTTTTCTCTCTCATCTCTCTCTTTGGCAGGTTGGGGACTTAAATGTTGTGTTCGGTGAACTCTTGACAAATAGGGCTAAAACTCTATACTCAAATGGGTGTTGTCTCTCACTATGAGGCGACATGATATAATAGAATAATCCGCAGGGCTTGACATCACAAGGCCGACTTTGGCACCCAAGTGCTACAGGCCTTATTAAAAATAAGATTTAATAATAAATAATACATAACAGATATAATAAAAAAAAGAGCCTATCTACAGGATTATTTTTAAAATACTAACAACCTCAAAGGACTATATTATCATAAAAAACAACTTTTGTTCCATGATGTTTTACAAGACATAATAAATTTATCAAAAATAAACTTTTGAGTCTTTGTTGTATTAAGTGTCTGCCACTTTTTACATCAGTATTTGGTAGAATAAGTTCAAACATGCAAGCGTTCTTCGCGACGACTCCCACTTCCGTCCTGCACAGAGTTATTACCGTTTAGAGCAATTTATTTAAATCTATATTTATTTTTGTATGAAAGAAAAATCTGGTGAATTATTAAAAGGCATGCAACACAAGCTAAGTTCTTTATAATGTTAGTAATATAGCCTTACGAGGTTGTTAGTATCTTTATCATTATCATCATTCGTAATCTTTTCTTCATCTTGAAAAGAAAAGAAAACTTTAAACCATCACGTGGCCATCATCTCAAACTATTTCGTGCACCTTCCAAAACTCCTGCTGCACACAATTTTTTCAGCAACAGAGTAGTGCATAATTGGAACATGCTACCGGGAGATGTTGTTTCTGCTGTCTCTGTTAATGCCTTAAAAAACAAGCTCGACAACTGGCTACGAAAGAGTGAATTAGTGCTAAAAAAGTGAACTAAAACAAACTACATAAATTACACCACTGTGTGAAGTAGACATACCAGCGAAAGCAGCTTGTCCATAATCGAATAAATAAAATAAAGTATATTCAAAATTACTTTGTATATAGTCCCAGTCTCACTCGTCTCACAATGGGAGGGCTTGAGTTCTAGTCCCCATGTGAGCCCAGTATGGACTGAGAACTTCACACTCATCATTAATCTCATACTCATCATTGAAAAAGTTTTATTTGTTAATTAACCAACTTCAAAAAGAGGGAGGAGGTTCTCAATTCAACTGTATTTTTTGTGTGTGTGAACTTTGGTGAACCAATTTTGATAATTCTTTTTTTGTTGGAAAGAAGGTACCTCAATATTGGTCCCATTTAAATTTGAAGAAAATATTCCACATCTAATGTGGCATACTGGGAGATGAACCCGGTTTCGCTGACTTTCCGGTAATCAATTGTAAACTTTGAAGTCAATTCCTTTATTTTAATGAAAATTATTTTATATAATCTTCAGGGCTGATTACCTTTTATTCGCGATAGGGTCTGTGTTAAGAGACGCCGCTCTTTTATATACAGATAGTACCATTTGCTCTTAATTTGAATATTGCTTACTACTAGAACTATTATTTAGCTTAAGGCTCAACTCACACTGGCGGAGAGTCGGAGCGTCGCGACGCGTCATGTTTTTCGCCTATAGTATATTCATCTCTGTTTTTCCCATTATTAAGGTACAAATTTGTGTTAAGCAAATATCGTCGACGCGCGCGACACTTGAGCGCAGTGAGGCGTCAGACGCCGACCGCATTGTGATCCGGGCGCACTAATGCGAGCGTCGCCAAGCGTTCTAATTGAAAAACAGGACGCGACGCGACGCTTCGACTCCGCGCCAGTGTGAATTGAGCCTAACTATACATACAAATAATGTCCAAGTACTGTGTTAGTATCTGGGACATGGAAACGCATATACATTCAATTCCAAGCACTACATCTGTTGTCTGGTGGCTAACTCTCATTCACTAAAAAATAATAATAATAAAATGTGTCACCTATGTCAATACTGTGCGCTGTTTTTAACTGACTTCAAAAAAGGAGGATGTTCTCATTTCAACAGTATCTTGTTTTGTGTTTATGTTACATGATTACTCTGGCTTTTGTGAACCGATTTTGATGATTTTTTGTTGGAATACTTCAGTATTCGTTCCGTTTAAATTTGAAAATAATATTCCACCTCCACGGGTGGCAAACTAAGGGATGATTCCGGTTTCGCGCACTTGCACTCGCAAACTTGGCAAATAGATGTAATTCCATGAATTTTAATTCTTCTCTAGTTTGTTATAATTATTAATACAAAGATCTAACACTCTTATTAGGAAGGAATTTTTTCTGAGTGTTCGATCTTTGTATTAATAATTATAACAAACTAGTGGAGTAATTTCACAAAAAATAATTGAATATCAATTCAATAAAAATTTAATTAATACAGTGAATAGCGACATCTCTCGCCAGGACTGGTAGCTGTAAAGGTACTAACTGGGTGATAAATCTGTAATAGATTTCTCAAAGATGGCGCTACGACTAAAAAGTCGATGAAAGACCAAGTACAAAGACACGACGCAAGCACATAGAGAAATTCGTGTGGTCCGTTGGTTTGTTCCGTGGCTTGGTTGGTATAACGTCTGGCACGGTATGCGAGAAGACGTCGGTTCGAATCCGACCGGATCGAAGGAATTTTTTCTGAGTGTTTTTTCTGAGTGTTCGATCTTTGTATTAATAATTATAACTAACTAGTGGAGTAATTTCACAAAAAATAATTGAATATCAATTCAATACAAATTTAATTTAATTCTTCTATTTTGAATTTTGGCTCTAATTGTTAATTGATGGAGATCAAAATATGTCAATGTACTGATTACTGTGATATCTGAAAGTCAAAATTCAAATCGTTATTTCATAGGTAAGCAAATTACACTTCAAATTGTAGTATTAATTAAACGCAAGAAACTCTAGAAGTTGCTCTTTGTAAATATACATTTGAATACATTTAACATTTGCAATATTTATTTGAAACGTCTCGGATTGAGACTACCTGCAAAAGCTAAACGGGTCACTACCACAGATTCGTGCCATCCAAGTACACAGAAGCTGTATAATAACCTTTAGTATAAAGTTTTACTTTTAGTTTTAAACGGCAAATTTTGAATATTAACCAGATTCCTATTATAGAAGCTTATATTATGTTGCCCCTTAAATGAATATGTCATAGTGAGAGGTAAAAGATTTTAGTCTATATATTGGAATACATCTAAGTTCCAAATTTTACAAACATTGCTTTGGAATGCTAAAAATCACACAAAGATAAGTAACAAATGGTACAGATATTAATAATTACCATGTCTCAAACTAGGAAATTCCCAGTACTATGACTACTAAAGCTATCTCTTGGGAGCACTTCTGAAAACTCCCAGAGCAATTTAGAAAAGCTGAAATTTCAAATTGGATCAAAACCAGGACTTTACCTGGCACCCATAGCACAAACCGTCGGGCAATTAAGGTTTTTTTTAAAATCTTGTTTTTAATTATTGCTTGTGTGTCACGTATGTGTCATTGTCGGCCTTGT